CTTGCCCCTCCCCTCCAGCCACTTCTTGGAAAAGGGTCTTCCTTCCTCCTTAATGAAGTTAATTGACAATGTGCATTTTTCCCTGGAAGCTTTTGAGAACTGCCAAGGCTGGTGAATGTAATCCTGCTATTAGGGGAGAAATGGCCCGTAGGAATGCTTAGATCGTGAGCCGGGTGCAGCGGGGCAGGACGCCTGTGAGTGTTTCCGCTTCCCAGACCCAACTCCAAAAAGAAGGGATCTGTTGGCATCCTGAGAACAGTGGTCTGCTTACGGCCGGGCCCCTCCAGCCTGGGGTCCTCTGGCTGGCAGTGCTGGCCCATTGGGACGGTCTAGAGAAGGTGATGCCCTGGATCAGCCCATCCAGGGCCAGGAGGGGGTCTGGGGTCACTAAAGAGACATCAGGGAGATGAGGTGTCTTTTTGTGACACCGCCCCCCTTTTTGGCCAAGATCTTTTAGCATAATTTATTCAGTGACTTTGCAAAACTTCAAAAACCCCGAGTGCCACGCCAGTCCCCCACACCACCCTAGGCACCCTGGGAGCCAGAATTGCCCTGCCAACTTGTTGGGCAGTGTCTGAGCGCAAATCCTCCTGGCCTGAGGCTGGGCAGGACAGCCATGGCATGGGCTGCCACGGGAACTCCTGCCTCATTGTAACCAGGGGCCTCGGGTTTTCACGTCACGTCACCCAGGTGGTGCCTCTCCGGTTCTCCCCTTGATTTTCCCTCTAAAGCCCTTTGCATCCCATTTCCTTTGACACCATGGGGGCCTGTGTGGAGAGAGGAGTTTGAAGCAGCTCTTGAGCAGAGAGTGGGCCTTACATGTGTGGCAGGAGGAGCAGACAGAAGGTCGGGTGGACAAGGGACTCCCTGAAGCCTTGGACTCCCGCCAGCTCCCAGTCCAGAGACGTGCCCACCCTGCTCTGCCCTGTCAGGTCTGTGGCGTGGTTAGTTCTAAGACTGCTTGCCCACCACGCCTTTTGTTGGTAACTTGTCAGTAGCGTGTAAGCCTTTGCCGTCACACATCCAGACCCTCCGCAGCAGCCTGCCCCCAACCCCCACCGACCGGGGGGATCCTTCCTGTCACTCTGCCCTTCCTGTAGCAGTCGAGACACATGGAGAGTAAGTGGGGCAGGGAAGGGGTGGGGCGTGTTCCTCGGCAGCAATTAAGCAGGAACAAGTGTATAGGAGAGCTAGTGGAGAGTACTCTCCATCTGCACACAGCAGTGCCCACCTCCCCGCGGGAAACCCAGTTTCCTAGGCACTGCTGAAGTGCTTATTCTCCCAAGAGGGCTGTGCCCCTGGGCAGGCATCCCTGGGCCGGAGGGTCCCAGGAGCAGGTACAGGCCACTGTGGCAGGTGAACGAGGCAGAGGCACACTTGCTTGGGCTATCACCCATTAGGAGCTGGCATGTTCTGGAGGGGTGGGGACCAGGGCTCACAGGTCTTGGAGCCTGCCTGCTGCCCTCTTTGCTGACTGTCAAGTGAGGGGGGTGGGTGACGAACGGTATCCCCATGGAGGCTGGCTGGCTTGGGCAAGCAGGTGGAATTGTCCACTCCCGGAGCAGGAACAGACCTCTCTTAGACCCCGTGGTGCAGCAGAGGAAGCGCTGGCCTGAGGCTGCATGCACTGCTCCTTTCTACATCTAAGGGCTTCTGGCTCCTCGGTGGGAGAGTACCTCCCCTGGGTCAGTCCCTGTTGCAGGAACACCACCCACCCACCCAAAGTGAGGCTTCCCAGCCCCACACTGGTACACCAAGCTTGGACTGGGCTGCTGGGTCACCAACTGAGCCAAAAATCTCAGTGACCCAGGAGATCCCTCGCCCACATCCCTCACCGTCCTGGGATCTCCAAACCAGATAACCTCAGGCTTAGCCTTCCTGTCCCCCCACGCCCTCTGAAACCCCAAGGCCCCAAGAAGGCAGCCGCATGAGTCAAGCATGGGAATTTGGGGTGATGAAGCTGGCCTGGGAGAGAGGGAGAGGTCGGAGCAGGTCCAAGGATGGGAGAGACTTGCCCCGGCCTCCCCAACAGGGGCCACACCCCACTTGGTGAATTTGGGATCCTTCCCAGGCTCCCACGCAAGCCTACCCCAGCATAGCCCGTCCCGTTCTGTTCTGAGGGTGGAGAAAACTAGGCTGGTGTGTCCTTTACCATCCACCACTTCTTCCTGGCACCTGTGTGGAGTCTGCCACTGAGCGCAGACAAGCCAGACTTACGCAGGTCCTTCCCACAGCAACAGTCAGGCTGCTAGGCCCCAGGCTCAACCTGAAATGGCTGCTGTCTGCAGAGGGGAAGGACCTGCTCTGCGGAGAGGCAAAGGCTTTTTGTGGGTTTAGGGGTGGGGACCGAGCAGTTGGCTCTCCCCCCAGCCTCGCCCTCCCTCTCTTTTCACATTGCAGCTGCAGTACCTCCAGCCCCAAGCTAATTCCTCTTCGTGGGGTTTCACAGCACACTTCCTGCACACGGGAACCCTGTAGCAAACTGTTCTCCCCACCACAGTGACCATCACACCCACCTGCGATCCCCACCACAGTGACCGTCACACCCGCCATCCCCACCACAGTGACCATCACACCCGCCACCCCCACCACAGTGACCATCACACCTGCCATCCCCACCACAGTGACCGTCACACCTGCCATCCACACCACAGTGACCATCACACCCGCCACCCCCACCACAGTGACCGTCACACCTGCCATCCCCACCACAGTGACCGTCACTCCTGCCATCCCCACCACAGTGACCATCATACCCTGCCATTGCATCACATTCACCATCTGGCCATTTAGGGGCTTACTCCCCACACTTCCCATGTCAGGTAGAAACAAGCAGGTAGCCAGGAGATCTGAGCTGAGGACTTGTCCTGGTGCTGCCAACAAGTGACAGGGGACCTTTGGGCTGCTTTTTCTGAGGAGGGCCCTACTAGTCCCCATCCGAATCTAAAGATCTCTTCCCTGCTTCCTTTTTAAAGGGCCTCTCATGGTGTGGGGTTTGAGTTGTGGGTCTCGGCCCCCCATGATTGGGGTTAGAGATAAAGTTAAGGTGGGGGAAAGATGCATTTGGCTTACACTGCAGTGGCAGAAGCTGAGGTGGGCACCAGGAAGGGCTCTACTGCCTCTAGGCGAACCCTGTGGAGCATGGCATCAGGTGTCCCTGTCCCACGAAGGCTGGCGTGTGGGCAGTGCCTGCCTTCCCACAAACAGGGCTCAGCCCCCCAGCTGCTGGGGTAACTGCCGTTCACGCCAGCGGCTACTTCCTTCCAGCCATAAAGCAGCAGGGATGGTCTGAGACCATGAGTGAGCCCAGATGGCCAGGTGGGTACTACCCTCACCTGCGGGGCCGAGGCCCCCTGGACTCGCAGCTCTGCAGTGTCGCTCAGCGTGTGCTGTCTTCCAGCCTCCAGGAGGAGTCCCTGGGACACAGCCGTTGCTGCCTAATTCCATGGATCCCACCCGGCAACAAGGTACAGGGGCGGGGCGGGGTGTGGCTGGGCTGGCTGGGGCATCGGGCTGGCCTCCTCCCCCGAGGCTCACCTGCTCTCTCACGCAGGGCACCCCAACATGGGAGGATCCATGCAGAGAATGAACCCTCCGCGAGGCATGGGGCCCATGGGTCCTGGCCCACAGGTAACTAACTGCCTGTCTGTCTGTCCGTCTGTCTACCTGTCCATCTGTGTGCACCGCCTTCTCTCCTGTCTTCACGTCTGTCCGCCACGCCTCAGCTCGCAGGGGTAAAAGGATAGGGCTGCCCATGTCCCATGCTCCTCTCTCTGCCCAAGGCTGAGCTGGCCACACACAGCCAGGAACAGCCCCGTGAGTGGGGAGCGGGCATCGGGGGACCCTTCTGGAGGGCCGACTTTGGAATGGGGAGCCCCGGTGTGGAGTGTGAGGAATTTGGAAGGGAGAGGGTCTAGTGCCCCACCAGGGATGCTGGGTGGGCTCAGGGGCCATGGGGACTAGAGTCAGGCCAGTGAGGGACAGTCCTGGCTCTCCCCACACCATACCATCTGTCCTCAAAAAAGCCACTTTGAGAGGTGTCTATACCTGGGTTGTCAGCAGTGTCCCTTCAGACGGCAGAGAAGGATGGTTGTCCAGGTCCCCAAGCACCCACCTCAGCTATTTCATACAGTGACTAAAAAAAATGGCAGGTTAGAAACTTGCAGAAGAAGTGCTTGCAAGCCCCCAAGTACTTGTACTTCCTGGTCACAGCAGAGTCGCCGCCCTGTGACTCTGCTTTATGCCCCAGAGGGAAGGACCTCCTGGCCCAGGTCTGACGGGTTCTGCCCGCTCTAGAACATTCTCCCAGTGGACTCCCACCCTCTTGAGTTGGACGGAGTTCCGCTTCCTGAAGCAGCCAAGGCAGAGCTCACTGTGTCCGTCCGGTCTTGGGAGCTCTGGAACCTGACTGCCTGCCAGATGATGAATCTGGATGGGGCTCAGGGTGGGAGAGGTTTGTTTGTGCCCCTTCTTGGCTCCCTGCCTAGAAGTCTGAGCTTGTCTTTCCCACCCCTGGCTCATAGATGTTTGGGATTCTCAGGGGCCTCCCCCACACACCTCCCTTTTACAGGGAGAATATGACTGTCCCATAGACCCACAGTTTTTTGCATCATTCTGGAGTTTCGTTTACTGCAAGCCCAGCCCTTGGCTTCCCTGTACAGCGGTGGTTTGAACATCTGCAGTGTTGAAAGATTTGGGGGAGGTCCTTGGCTTCTGTTGGCCCCGTAATCCTAAAAGGAAGCAAGCCTTCCCCAACCACTGCCCCGGTGTCCTCGTCTTCCCTCTGCCCCCACGTCCCCCAAAGCTCATTGTTCTCCCAGCGAGGGGCTGCCTGGGTCAGAAGCCCCTTTGGAGCACGCAGCAGTGGGGGAACGGGGAGGTGCAGGAGGGTGGTGGCTGAGGCAGGAGCATGGAAGCCCCACTCACCCACCACGTGCTCACAATCCTCGGAGGCTTGGCCGGTACGTCCGTCCAGGGGGGCGGAGCTGTATCTGCCTCGGGAGGAGGCTGAAAAGTGGCAAGTTGAGTCTCCAGTGGGACAGCCCAGCCCGCTCCCCGCCCTGGCAGCGTCAGATCGCCTGAAATCCAGGGCCCTTGTGGCTTGCACTGGGTGGTTGCTTTATGGTTCTTCCCTTTGTTGTTGGTTGTCTTTCCCCTGGTTTGGGCTTGGCAGCAGCTGGTCCAGCCTGTGCTTATGCCTACATTCTAGAGCAGCGGTGCTCAACCTGTGGGCTGAACCCCCTTTGGGGGTCGAACGACCGTTTCACTGGGGTCGCCCGATTCATAACAGTAGCAAAATGACAGTTATGAAGTAGCAATGAAAATCGTTTTATGGTTGGGGGGGTCACCACAACACAAACTGTATTAAAGGGTCTCAGCATTAGGAAGGTTGAGAACCACTGCTCTAGAAGCTAGAAACAGATGTGGTCACGCTGGCTGAGGGCAGTGTTCCAGAAGGTGAAGGCCCCCTCCCCTCCCCAGCCCACTGTGAACCTGAGCAGCAGCCCGGCACCCTCGGGTGGTGTACTTTACCAGGCGGTGAGGTGGTCCAGAGCCCGAGATCTTGCTCCCAAGGACTTCTAGGAGTGGTTTGCAGGAGGTGGGGTTCCCCTCCGCCCCAAGAAGTGTCCCAGAGGAAGGAGGAGATGCTAGCACGGGGCTGAGCCCTGCTGACCCCGGCGCCTCCACTCCCCGCCACCCCCCACCCCCATGCAACAGCACACCCAGCAAGCACACTGGCTTTCCCCGTGCGTGGCCCAGGCACTGGGTTCCTTCCAGACACGAGCTTTGTGACAGCACGAGACCCCAGAATGCTTCGTCCCTGTTTTCCCGTCAGCCCCCCTTGCAGGTGCAAATGGTGGGCCCTGGTGAGGATGGGTGTGTTCCAGGGTCTGGGACGCAGCAGGGGAGGGTGGGGTGTGCTGGAATCTACCATCAGGCCATAGTGGGCACAGCAGGTCCGGGGACCTGAGAGTGGGAGACGGCTGGCGCTCCCTACTCCCCAGCCCCCCGTCTCGGTGCCCTGAGGGCATTGCCAACACCCCCAGTGCACAGAAGGGCTCTAAAGGTAGAGTTCTAGAGCCAGCCAGCCCAGCGGGCCAGCCCCCAGCTCCGCAACTGTAAAGTGGGCAGTCCTCGGGAGGGGTGGGTGGCCGGGGTGAGGTGGAAGCCTGAGAGCAGGAACACAAACAAGGCGACCACCCCCAGCTCTGAATCAGGACCTGGGTCTGGGAGGGACCCCCAGCCTCTAGTGAGCGCCCCTGTATGTGCAGTGCCACCGTGAGGCTGGACAGCAGGCTCTCCCCAGCAGGAACTGCACTACTTACCAGTGACTCCCTCGGCACCCAGGTGAACAAAGGAAGGAAGGGGTATGGCTCTTTGGGCTCCAGAGGAGCTTTCAAAAGCGGCCCCAGTGACACTGTGCTTTACCCCTTTCCTGTTTTTGAGCCCCAGAGCCCAGGACACACTCCAGCTGAAGCAGCCCGCCCTCCGCCCTCACGCTGAGACAGCTTTCACTGGGTTTCCTGAAACAGCCAGGGGCCAGAAGGCAGTGTTCTCACATTACAGCGTTCTCGCCTTTTAAAACGTGTGTGTGTCAGTGTCCGGCAGGAACCTTTGGCCAAGTGTTCAGAAGTGACTGCAGGTGGAGTGTGGCTCACACTACGGGGCACCTGGCCAGCTCTGGGGAGAGGAGGGAGGCCGGCTGGCCGGCAGGGGTGCTGGGGCTGGAGTGGAGCTGGCAGAGAGGTTTTGACGAAAGACAGCCGGAGGTCCTTGGGACAGCCCTGTGCTGCCCTCTGGAAGCTATGTCCCCAGGACCAGCCTGACTGTGCGTCTAAGCCAGTGGTTCTCAACCTTCCTGGTGCCGCGACCCTTGAATACAGCTCCCCATGTTGTGGTGGGCGTATCTGCATGTGGGCAGATCCGCCTGGAGACGGATAGAGGAAGAGTGTCTTGGTTCCTAAGACCATCAGAAATACGGTCTTAGGCGACCCCTGTGAAGGGTCATGACCCCCAGGTTGAAAACTGCTGCTCTAAACAAATCACTCAGAGATAGAAAGACCAGGATCCCTTTCCCGGAAACACCCCGTGGTCCTAGGGAGGGGGCAGGTGGACGGCGGGGGACCTTTGATGAGCTTTCCTAGGCACCCCTGTGGAGGCTTCCCCGCTCAACTGAGCCCCCACATGATTGCAGGGCAGGGTGGAGGACAGCCTCCCCGGCTCACTGCCTGGATGCCTCATGCCATCTCCTGCTACGGGAAAGGGTGCTGGGTGTCCCCTGTACAGTGCCCAAGACCGGTCCCAGGAAACAGTCCCCACCAGCTGCCATGACTGCCTGCCTTTCCAGCCTCTGGGGCCCTCGACGAGCCTGGCTCCTCACAGCAAAGGAACTGAGGGAAAGGTGGGGGTTCACGTCCCCAAGCATGGGGTCCTTTGTGGATCCTGACCGGCTCAGAGCTGTCCAAGGTGTGGTGTCTGAGACAGACCCCCGGAAGGTTGTCAGCCTGCGGGCTTCCCCAGCACCTCCAGCACTGGGGGAAGGCCGAAAAGCCGTGGGGCCTGGCCCGCTCCTCCTGAGTCTCCAAGCCCTCTAGCTGGTGTTTCTGATTTGAATCACCCTCCCAAAAGCCTAGTTTCTTTGTCCCTGTATCTGCTGGGCTTCTTCTGTGGCCTTGACCCCTGTGACCCTCCAGTTGTCACCTGTGAAATGCAGGGTCTGAGCAGAGGCCTGCTGGGCGGCTCCTGCAGGCTGGGCTGGGCAGGGTGTGTGCCCGGAGCACCCTCCCAGTCCCCCGGAGATGCCCACAGCCTGTTGAAAGGGCTCCTTTTTGGGGTGTGCACTGTGAACCTGCTCCTCAACCCACCCAAAAGGAGGCCGTATCATGTTGTCACCGGATTGTTGTAGAATCCACATGTGCTTCCCAAGCCCCACCCTCAGGTCTTATTGCAGCGCCCCCAACCCCCACCGCGGGGGGGGGGCAGTCAGCTGTAGAGAGAACCAGTCCTGCGCCTGCTACCACGTGAATGTTCCTTGTAAACCTCACACTGAGCGGAAGAAGCAGACACCAGAGGACAGATGTTGTGTGATTCCACTTATACAGAGTAAAGGCGGGGGTGGGGGTGGGGGGTCTCCATTCTGACTCATAGCAACCCTATAGGATGGGGTAGAACTGCCCCTGTGGGTTTCTCAGATTACATCTTTACGGGGGCAGAAAGCCTCATCTTTCTCCTCAGGAGCGGCTGGTGGTTTTGAACTGCCAGCCTTGCGGTTAGCAGCCCAGTGCATCTCCTGTGAGACCACCAGGGCCCCTGTGTGGAGTCTAGAACAGGAGAAGTCCTGCAAGCTGATTGGAGTTTGCTGGGGCAGGGGAGGTGGGGGTGGCGGGCGCTCGCTCAGTAGTGGACTGTCCGTGTGGAGTGTTGAGAAAGTTTGGGAAGGGGTGGTAGTGCTGGCAGTAAGTACAGCGTGGTGAATGTGTCTCTCTGTTTGGCACTTGGAGGCAGCGGGAATACACGCTTTCGAGAGCAGCGTTCCCCACAGCAGAAGTCTTTCTGAGAGGCCCAGAGGGAGGGTGACAGCACCCCGGGGCAATGTCCCTGCCGCCCACCGTGTGGCGCATGGAGAGGGAAGGGGCCGGCGCAGGCCCTGTATGGTCAGGGACTCCTGGAGTGCCCACTCTGGCCCCCCCCCCCCCTCGGTCTCCTGGCATCCCCCTCCCCACACCCAGCAGTTTCTGAGTACTCAACAGACTCGGGGACCCCCAGCACAGAAAGGAAGCCACTGTGCCCACCGAGGCCCCCCCGCATGCTGGGGCTCGGCCAGGTGGGAGGGGACCAGCAAGGTGAGGTGTCTATGCTTGGGGCCCGAGCTGGCCCAGGGCCTGAGGAGCACTCCTCTGCCCGGCCCACATGAGGAGCACTCCTCGCGCCACTGTCCATGGGGCTCGTGCGCCCCCTCGGGGTGCCCTTACCTTGCCAGGTCAGATCCCTTTACCTGCCTTGAGACCTGTGGGAAAGAGCAGCGCAGAGAGCTGCCTACTTGACATCCGTAGGTTTCTGCGAGACTCCTCCGGAAGCCCCTGAGAACGCATGGAAAGCTGTGCTTGTCCCTCCGTGCTGGCTTGGCGTCTGTGGTCCGTCCCTGTCACTCACGCCCTACCCGCCCCCTGCCCTGTCCAGAAATGGTGGCATTTGTTTGTGGTGTCGTTGTGTTTCTCATCCCCCCTTTTCACGGACGAGCCCTCTCACTGATCTTCTGTCTGTCTCTCCTCCCTCCTCCTCCTCTCTCCGGTCCCTCTTGCTCCTCATAGACTGACCCTTGGTTATCGTTGCAGAATTACGGCAGCGGCATGAGACCTCCACCCAACTCCCTCGGCCCCGCCATGCCCGGGATTAACATGTAAGGCAAAAACAACTTGTCTTGCCACCCAGGGCCTGCGGCTTCTCCTACCCCGGTGCCCTCCCTCCCCCAAGACGCGTGATCAGATGAACACCTCTCTGGCACTCCATCTCCTCGTCAGTAACATGAGGGTGTGGATTCCGGCCGGCAGCTCACACTTAGCCCTCACGCAGTGCTTCCGCGTGTGCTTAGCGCCCATAACAGCACTCTGCCGAGGCAGTTAATGTTGCCCCCCCTCCCTCTCCCTCTTTACAGAGGAGGTCACTGGGCTCAGAGAGGTCAAGTCACTGCCCGAGACCACACAGCTTAAGTGACAGGGTTTGAACCCTGGGGGGTTCTCACTGCAGAGCCCATACCCCCCCCCCCACTGTTTCCTAGGATGTCCGTGGGTGTTAACAAGCCCTCTTCAGGGATAGATGGACAGATCCCTTTGAGAGTCTGTGGACCCCTCTCCAGGGAAGTGCACACACAGGACATTGACGAGCGTGAACCTCTCGTTGGCGCCCTGTTGACCCACGTCGGCCCTAGGACTGTACAAAGGACTTGCTTGATTGTGCTGCCCCACCCCCACCCCTTACTGTCTCCCTTCTCCTCCGCAGGGGCCCCGGCGCCGGCAGACCCTGGCCGAATCCTAACAGTGCTAACTCAGTAAGTACCCACGACTGGTTGGGGGTGTTTTCTAGGGTAGGGGGTGGTTCCTGTGCCCCTGCTGTAGGTGACACTGTTCATGGGGACAGTGTAGCAGGACTCCTGGGAGACCAGCATCGGTGGCCTGATGCCTCAGGGAGAAGCCCACCTTGCCTGCTGGGCTGCCCCCTCCTCTGCAGAGGCCAGGTCTGAGCTGAGAGGCTGTCCTGGGCAGAGGCTTACAGGTCTGGCTTCTGGTGCTCAGAGGGAGGGACAGTCCAGGGTGATAGCCTCCATGCCTTGGGCCCCCGCCTCTGTGGCTCCCAGCCATCAGAGACCTGCACAGGAGAGAATGGGCTCCAACCTTCATATCCATGACCGTGGGGAAACTGACCAGGAGGTTCTCCTGGACAGTGGCACTGGGTCCCCAAATGAGTTCCAAGGCTAAGGGGGTGCTGCCTGTCACAAGACTAACCGGTGGCTCCCCATCTGATTTCCAGATTCCATACTCGTCCTCCTCGCCCGGTACCTATGTGGTAAGTGTGTGGGTTCGGGGCGTGGCCTGTCCAGCCACATGTGCCTGGGTGTGCAGGGACCACCGGCTGCTCCCGGCTCACTCCCCTCAGAAACGCATCCCAGGCACAGGTTACACACTGTCCTAAGACCTGCTGCCGATTAACCCAGGCGGCCAGCACTCGGCCGTGTGTTTGTGAACCCAGGGGGGTGTGGTGGGGTCTCAGAGCCAGTTGCCCGGAACAAGGACCCGTCCTGTGCCCTGAGTGAGTGCTGGAGGCCATGCGTCCCTGTGGTTCCTGATGCCGTGTCCCATCTTCTCTCCAGGGGCCCCCTGGTGGTGGCGGTCCCCCAGGAACGCCCATCATGCCTAGTCCCGCAGGTGAGAGGACTGGGGACCGAGGTGGGGAGGGTATTTGGTGGTTCTGCAGGGGTCCGGGCCCTGAGCAACTTGGCCTCCAGGACATCCGGGGTCAAGAGGCTCCCTGGTGCCAGTATGTCAGCCAGGGGCACTGCTTATCTCTGGTCCTGGGTGCTGCCCTTTTAGAACAAGGGTCCTCGCTGCCCTCGACTCCCACGAGGAAGGGCTGCCCCTGGCTGCCTGCCTGGGCATTTTCTCTAGATGCATCTAGTGTCCAGGGTGTTAGGGCAGCTGTTGTTAGAGTCATCACCCCCTGGGCATCCAGTCCTCTCTGTAGGAGAGTCCCTCCCCCACTCGCCTTAATCACACGAGGGCAGACATGCACATGTGGGCACGTATGCTCACACGCATGATATCACTGTGTCTCTCTCCCTGCTAAGAATCGCAGACCAGCCAGCTAGAAGTCACTCCACACACAGCCCGTACCCCCTCCCCAAATGAGAAGAGTGCGGCTGGTGGGGTTCTGCCCGAGAAACACAGACCCGCTCCTCGTAGGCACACACTGGCTGGTGGCTTACAGAGACGTCTCTCGCTAGCCGGGAGACCCTTTCCCCTATCCCTCCTAGGCTCCCCGTACCAGGGAGGCCGCTTGGCTGCGGGGCTGGAGCTGGCGGCTGCGCGCTCTATCCGCTGCTGCATTTTTATGAGCTGCATGACCTACATTCAGGCTGGGGCACAGCCGACTCTCCATGTGTTAATTCCCCTTAACCCCAGGCCCAGCCCTCCTCCCCTCCCCTCCACCAGGCAGGGTGCTCCCTCCTGGGGTGGGGGGCGAGCAATGTGTGGCCTTTCTCTGCCCCCACTAAGGGGTGGGTTACCCGGCTGGCTCCCGGGTCTCAGTACCAGTCTAGTGTCCGGGCCCTGGAGCTGAGCATTGTGGCCTCCACAGGCCCTCTTGGCAGTGTCCCAATGACTGTCCAGATGCCCTGAAATGCTCCCTCTCTGGGGTCGAGTGGTTTTCGCAGTTGAATTTTCTGTGATTAAAAATTTTGTGAATCTTCATTAAATACAAATTAGCCAGAAAATGGTGGTACTTAGAAGGAGTTTTAGGTGATAAAATACAAAAGAATGAGTTCAAGTGCCAGGAGTTTGTTTTAATTAAGAAGTGAATTAATCACCCCGACTTGCCGGTTTCCACTGTTCTACAGATTCAACAAATTCCAGTGACAACATCTACACAATGATTAATCCGGTGCCGCCTGGAGGCAGCCGGTCCAACGTAAGTCTGCTTTCCAATAATTTACATATCAGATACCATAACAAATCATAATTAGCTTCGTCGGGCTGAGGGGGAAGCACGTTTAATTGATTTCAGCCATTTGCTACCAAAGATGAGTAAAATAAACCGTCAGAAAAGTGATTAACTCTCGGGCAGCTCAGTTGCCCTTTCATGGCTGGCAGCGGTGGGGGGTGAGGGGAGGGATGGATGGAGTGTGTGTGTGCGTGTGCTGTCAGAATGAGGTCACCGGACACCACTGCTGGGACCCCCACTGCTCTGCTCAGGTGCTGGTGAAGAAGGCCCTTGGCATGCATGGGCGTCTGGGTCTGCCCCTGCTTGGCCATCCTCCCCTGGACAGCCCCGGCCCTGAGGCCGATGCCCTTGCTGTGGAGGTTGAGGGTGGGGTTGCCAGCAGGAGGAAGCAGCTCGGTGGCCCCAGCGGCCTGCCCTGCGCCCTGTGGACCTGGTGACCTCGGGCCCCACCCCTCTGCCTCTCCTCGTGTGACTCTAGAAGCGACTTCTCGCGTCTCGGCCTCCTAATCCCAACCCCTCGATGGATGTCCAGCTCAGACATCACCTTTCTGCTTCCCGCTGGTCCCTCTGCTCCAGAGCCCTTGGTTGGAGGCATCCTGTCCCCTAGCTGGGCCTCTGGGCTTAGGGCCTGGCTGACCCACCTCTCCACACCCGCTGCCATGCTCTTCCCTCCACATCTGGGAAGGAGGCGCCACCTGTGAGCTGCAGGGCAGGAGGGCGGGCTTGTGGTCCCAGCGTTGTCTGTTGCCTGCTGTGAGTGGGATGTGGCTGTCAGGGTGCTCCGGGTGGCTGTTGGCTCAGTTCTTAAGGTGACACGCATTCCCTTGTGTACTAAACCCTGGTCACAGCCACCCCGTCAGGTAGAGTCTTTGACCTGCCCCCTAGGGTGCTGAGGGCAACCTCAACCAGGGTGGCATGAGGAGGAGGTGTGAGGATTGTGTGCCACACACATTCGTGCTTGACCACCCACCCGCCCACTACCCTCCTGGTCAGCAATGCCTCCCTCCAGGTTTTGGGAGGGGAGTCCCAACGTTTGGCAAGGGACGTGGCAGGTTGGGAACATGGACACAGTTTTCGGTGTCAGTTGGATGTGCTGTCAGTTACCCACCTCAATGGGGCCCATTCCCTTATCCCCCTGACCACTCATGTCCACAGCCGTGACTTTCGGGGCACAGGGACCTCCATCCCCGTGCTGCCTCACTGGGAGGAGTGTTGCCTGTCCGCCTGTGGCTCTGCCTGCCGGTCCCCTGTCTTGCTCCAAATACAGGTGGTGCCAGGTCCGAGTTTGACACATTTGCTCGAGCGAGGTCTGATGAGAATGAGAAGGGAGTGTGGTTCCACCACAGCGTGACCCAGGCATCGCTGAAATGGCAGGCTCAGTGACTTGGTTTTAATCGCGTGCACGTGGCACGTGGGCGGGGCCGTGGGTGACCACGCAGAGTTTGAGCGCGCTCCGGGCAGAGCCTGGAAGGGAACGGCCTGCAGGCACGTGGGTGAGCATGCATCCCACAGTCCCGGGCCGCGTTCTTGGGCCTCCTCATCCGAAGAGACACCAGTGGCCGGCAGAAGCAGCAGCTGACAGACCTGGGGCACACACATGGACAGGAGCCACCGAGTCCTCCCCGACTGTCCCCCGAGCTGAGAAAGGGCTCCTCGTTGGCTGACAGGGCAACTCAACAAACCGGTGTGCTGGCTGCTGTGGCTAGAACTGCGCTACCCCAAAGAAGAAGCGGCGGGTGTCCTGACTGGTCCCTGGTCCCTCGGGGTCTGTGATGACACTACTGGAGCAGAGGAGCGGTTCTGTGCCCCTGGCAGGTGTCCTTATAAAGGAGGGAGGTGGGAAGTGCCCCGGGATGCCGAGGGGCATGAAGTTTCTTCTCCCAGAGACCTCAGAAGGGGTCATCGTAGCTGAGACCCTGCTGTGGCTGCGTAGCCCCGGAGCTGGGAGGCCATCCGTTTCTGTCCTGCAAAGCCACCTACTTGGTGGCATTTTGTCCCAGAGACTCTGTGGTACAGGGCAGTCTCCGCAGAGTCCTGGCAACACCACCCGAAGGGCTCCCTCCCTGTGGCTCTCAGGGACTTGGAAGGAAGCATGGCACGCGTGCTCTCTCCTTGCAGGTGATTTTAATGTTGACACAGAAAGCCCAGCACAAACGACGGCTCTTCTCTCTCCCCAGTACGAAGTAGACTTGGCTCGTTGCTCTGCAGTGTTGGCAGGCAGCACCCCGGTAAATGTTGGCAAGTTGTGTATAGCCGATGAACTTTCGGAGCAAAGAAAATAAAGAAGAGCTTGCACATTCCCGGCCCTGCACTCCTGTGGACACAGCACTGTGTACAAGGAGTGGGTTTGCATACCTGTGATACTGATCCTCGTCACGATTGCCCTTCATATTTCGACGTTCTCAAAACACGCAGAACCACTTAGAGCAGTGGTTCTCAACCTTCCTAATGCCGCGACCCTTTCATACAGTTCCTCGTGTTGTGGTGACCCCCCAGCCGTAAAATTATTTTCATTGCTACTTCTTAACTGTCATCTTGCTACTGTTATCGGGCGACAGCTGTGAAAGGGTCCTTCGACTCCCAAAGGGGTTGCGACCCACAGGTTGAGAACCGCTGACTTAGAGGGTAAGACAAGAGGGACGTCTTGGAAGTTGGAAATGGGACACGTGCATGCCACTTCTCCAGAACTGCTTGGCGAGCCGAGGGAGGATGAGCCGCCCACCCCTGCCCTGCTCACTGCCCTCCCCGTGAGGCCGCAGCAGAATCTCCCAGGGTAGTCAAAGGACTCCTGGGCATCCCAGAAAAGGGCACCCACATTACAGGGGTCCTCCCCATTCCTGTATGCTGAAGACTGCAACTTACTTGGAATCCACCTTCAGGGTCACGTTCTGTGCTTGCAAACCACTGTCCCGGAGAAAGCGAGGCTTCCTCGTAAGGACATCATCCAGTATATGCTTCGGGCGTCTGCGAACGGCGGCCGTGTGAGACAGGGTGGCCCAGTCATGGACTGCCGATGGACGCAAAGAAGGCTCCTGACAGACAGCAGCCTCCCAGAACAAGTCTGGCACAAAATTGGTGGATGTCTCCGGGGAGGTGGCACCTGGCGCCTGCAAGTGAACACCTGGGCTGGAGAGTCCAGTGCTTAATAGCTGCCCCTCCCCCCAATTGCTTTTGTGGCCAGTGTGTTTAGCTCAGGAGCCCGGATTGCATGGATTGCATGCTGGGGAAGCCCACGGCTGTTACCGAAAGGTTAACTGTTCAAAACCCTCAGTGTAGCTCCGTGGGAGGAAAGGCCTGGCAAACTGCCCATGGAGAGAATTCACCATAGGAAACCCCGTGGGCTGGCTGCACCCGTCTGTCCTGTAGGGCCACTCTGAGTGGACGGAGCTCCCTGCCCGCAGCACCACAGTACCCTGTGCTTGATGCCATCGCATTGGACAGACACTGGGCTGCAAGACACCGTGCATTTTGCGTTTGGCTACATTCGTCTTACCGCTTCATCCGAGGAGTGCGGGAGGGTCTGAGCCGGCAGGGCCCGCAGAGAAGAGGAAGCCGAGCAATGTCTCCCTCTTGTTTCCTGGCACAGAAGCATCGCTGCCGGTTCCTCTCCCACTCTGCCATGGAGTCGATGGCGACTCAGCGGACCCTGTAGGACAGGGGGAACAAGTTGCTCCTGTGGGTTTCCAAGACTGTCACTCTTTACAGGAGCACAAAGCCTGGTCTTTCTCCCTTGGAGCAGCCAGTGGTTTTGAACTGCCGACCTTGCAAGCCCAAAATATTGCCACCTACGACACCAGGGCTCCTGTTATGTTATTACTGCTATTAAAGGTACGTTAGGTAATTTATCAGTCCTATTACATTTCTCCTTTTTAAAAATGCTACAGTCACGTATCTTCAGAACCTGTCTGAGTCTAACCACCAAAAGTTAGTTACATGCCCGGTAGTTTCTGCAGAACAGCCCTGGCGGTTAGCGGTTGCCCATCGGGCTGTGCTCCACGAGGTCGGCCATTCAGAACCGCCAGCTCCCTGTAGAGAGTGACAGCCTCGCACCCACAGGAACAGTCATGACTGTTCCACCCTGTCCTCCTCAGGGTCGCAACGAGTCAGCGTCCACTCAGTGGCATGAGTTTAGACTCGTTCCTGTCAACTGTCATACCGGAGGATAGGAATATTATAAAATCACTGCTCTGTTTCCTCACACTCATTAGCCGCTTACTGATTGCTTCTGCTTGTCACAGCTCACTGGCCGTGTGCCGTGTAAGTAACAAAGTCGCACATCATAGACCAGTGACGCCCGAGCACCTGGATAGTTGTCCATGTGCAAATGGTAACGTTGGCTCCCTTCTTGGCCCACACACATACACAGTCGACCCCAGAAGAATCTTCACCCTGAATGTGAGACTGAAAGTATAAGATGCTCACAGGAAAGCATGAGCGACGTCGTCGTGTCCTGGGGTGAAACAGCGTCTATAATTATGGCACCTGACGGTTACTCAGAAGGTTAAACGGCTCTTCGGCTCCAGCAGGGCCGCCCCAGACAGACACCCAAGCACCCGGAAAGCCTGCGTCCACAGAAACCTTGTCCGAGAATGTTCTTGGTAAGTTATTCGTAACAGTCAAGAATCAGCAACCACCGCACTCCTTCCACAGACGGTGGAGCAAAGGGCAGTGCCCAAGTGCAAGGGAGCGTTGCTCGTGCGAGAGCAAGAGGAGTGAAGTCCCCGGACACGCTCCAGTGTGGCCGCCCACACCTTGACACCGCTCTGCAGGAAGTTCTTAGACACGGAGGCCTATCCGTGCGTGACGGTGCTGTTCCTAGAACCTGTGGAATGGGATTGCAGTCGGCAGCTCTACGGCAGACAGCAGACGGAGGGCAGGCCGCTGTGGGGCGGAGAAACTTCTGAAACGGGTTGTGGTGCTGTGCGCCTATATCCTCAACGGGTCGGACACTTCAAACAGGTGAATTGTGGAGGGGCTTCAGAAAGACACAGTGAGGAGATAATGTGAGTTTTCCACTTTTGGAAAGCCCTCGGGTAACGCAATGCACCTGTTAACAATGGAAAATACGCACCGTAGACACCCAGGAATGTACCGCTTTTCCCAGGTGTGTCTCTGACACAGCAGTGGCACGCGGGTACGTGATATGATGACACTTAGACCGGCACCGTCGCCGTCAGTGGGCTCAGACAGGAGGCCAGTTATGAGGGTGGCAGGAGACCGGGCAGTGGTTCATTCTCTTGACCTTAGTCCCCGTGAGTTGTGGCCCACTTGATGGCCCCCAGCAAGGGTCCCAGGGGGTGTCGGGGCTGAAGCGTAAGCATTGGGCTGGGAGCCTCAGAGAGGCTGGCAGTTCAGCCCCTGAGGGAGAGCGAAGAGCCCCTTGGACTCTCGAGTCCCCATGCAGAAACCCCACAGGGCAGTTCACCCTGCCCTCCTGGGTCTGTAAGTTCAAAGCCACTTCACGCCAATGAGTGACGCTCCCTTTCTCTCGGAGTTTTTTCACCTTCCTCAACACCGCTCGGTTTACTGGGGTGACGTTTGTTGCCAGATGCACAGGTGGTGAGCCTGGGCCGCCTTGCACTCTGTCTCCACCTCACCCCTGCACTTCTGCTCTAGCTGCTCCGTGCTGGGGAGCTTCCTGGGGCCCAAGGCCTGCCCTCCCCAGTCCATCCATGCCGCCTCCTGCGTGCAGCCGACTCTGGCTTCCCTGCCCTGCTCCAGCACTGCCCCTGGAACGCTGCCACTGGCTTCTGGCTCTTGCTTTGCTCTTGCAGGCTGGGCCCCAGGTGCGCAGGCCAGATACCCCCCACTCTGCCACCCTCCCCTCCCACGTGCCCGCTGGTCTTCATCCCCGAGACCTGGCTCTCCAATGTCCCCGCTGCCTGTGACCCCCGCCCTTGTGTGTGCCCTTTATGAATGGATTTGATGGTTCTTGGCAAGCCTGGGGCGGGGGGGGGGGTCTTATTTCTGAGGCTCAGACTGGTGTGCAGCATCTATTCTGCATGGGAGCTCCCCTCATGACCACGCTACCACCCACAGGTCTCAGAGACAACTCAGGTGTGTCCCTTACAAGTGACCAATGCCCAGCTCTGCCCACTCAGGCCCTCCCATGCCTGAGAAGCTTCTGAGGAAGGGCATGGGGAGGCACATGTGGCAGGAGCCCCAGGGCCGCCGTGCCCTCGCTGTGAGAGATCTGGGCAGTTGTAACCACCTTGCCCCTCCGTTTGCTCATTGGTAAAACGGGTGTGGCTCGTGTTCATGCTTAGCTGGACACTTTATCTCTTGTCTGTGTGTGAGGTTGACTGGGGGGCTTCAGACGATCGGGGGGCGGGCAGTGGGTGCAACCCCCAGAAGAGCTCAAGGGGCTTGGAGGGAGAGCCGGCACTGGGGGGGCCTTTGTCTCCTCACATGTCCCTCGGCACTGCACAACTCGGGGCCATGTCAAGAAAACCTGATGGCCTGGTGTGGGGGGGACTCCCCTAGTGGCTGACTTCCCGGGTGTGGGAGCCCACTGAGCCTCCGTTGCTTTGTGCCCCTCCCTCAGTTCCCGATGGGCCCTGGCTCCGACGGCCCGATGGGCGGCATGGGCGGCATGGAGCCCCACCACATGAACGGATCATTAGGTAAGCCCACCACATGGCCACAGGCAGCTGGACCTACCCCAGAGCGCGCGAGCCTGGGATGATGAACCTGGGAAGGGGGCATCCGCGGGAGAGCGAGCAAAAAACTGAACCAAGTCTCCTCCATTCCAGGGTCGGGTGACATAGATGGACTTCCAAAAGTGAGTCTACCTGTAGCTTCACCCACCCACCCCCGGGGGGCGGGGGCGGTGCCTGGAAGCCCCTCTCCCCCTGTGTGGGCAGGCTGTGAGGCGCTCAGCTCTCCCTCCTCTCTCTGCAGAACTCTCCTAACAACATAAGTGGCATTAGCAATCCTCCGGGCACCCCTCGAGACGACGGCGAGCTAGGAGGGAACTTCCTCCACTCCTTCCAAAACGACAATGTAAGCCCTGGCTTGGTGGGGGGCCTGGGGCCCTCCTGAGAAAGGTGCCTCTCACCTGCTCCGCACCCCACCTCCCTTCAGACTGCTCGTCCTGGCCTTGCCCCAGGGAGCCCTGGCCACTCACTGCCTCCCCAGGGCTCTGACCTGACTGGTTAACACCCCCCCACCCTTGGAGGCACCACCTCAGTCAGCAGCTGGGACTGAGCTAGTGGAGCAGCATGCCTGCATGTTGGGGTGGTGGTGGTGCAATTTTCATTATCCTGGCGGGGTGGGGCCGGGGAGTTGTAACCAGTACTTTCCAGGGTCTCCGAATGCTGCCCATCCCCTGAGAAGGAGCAATGTGGTGGCTGAGCTGGCCTCAGAGCCACAGCCTGGACCCACCCCGGGGTGCTCCTGGCAGGGCACTGGGTTGCAGGTTGCAGACCTACCCCGCTGGGAGCTCAAGTCCTGGAGAGCTGACTGCCCCCACAGGACAGGGCAGAGCCCGCTGCTTCTGCCTGCTAAAAATAAGAGTGGTTTGGAGTGGCGGGGTGCTGACTTGCTCCCATACTTCCTGAGCCCTCAGCTTTCCACCCAGGTCCAGAGCCCCTGCCCCATCCCCACCCTGCTGGGCCCCACACAGGGCTGCTGGGACCCCCCCCCACCCCACCCCCCCGGGCCTGAAGGTGTTCCTGCTCTGCTTCTGCCCTTGCAGTATTCTCCAAGCATGACGATGAGCGTGTGACTCGCCCCCTCCTCCTCCTCCTCCTCCTCCTCCTCCTCCTCGAGATGCTGAGGGCGCCGATGTTGCAGGCGGGAAGATGCCCGAAATTATGCAAGAAGTGAGGTGTCATTACCTGGGAGCTAGGGGAGGGGCACCTCCCCCAGCCCCTCTGCCCCTCCCCCCACCCCACCATGCCCTCACTTCTCCCAATTTTAGTTTCATGCAATAAAAAGGCCGAACTTTTTATTCCATAAAACATGAAGGACAAAATGCAAAATAAAAATATATTTCAAGTCAGCAACCAGGAAAAAAAAACAAAAACACCTTCCCCTTCCCAAAAGGACCTTTTATGTACATGACACTTTTTGTTGTTTTTGTTTGGGGTTTGGTGGTTGTTGGGATTTTTTTTTTTAATTTGTTTACACGGGTTTTTTTGGGGGGGGGAATAAATTTTTTTTAATGGAAGCTTCTAGCAAGCACCCCACCCCAATCAACCTCTTTGCTTTTCTTCTCTTAAAAAAAAAGAAAAAGAAAAAAATGCCCTGCTATCTGTCTGCCCCCCCTCCCGTTCTTCCATCAGGAGAGCTAGTCTAGGTGTGAGGGCACCATGGTCTCTGTAGCATCCAACATCCTCATAATAAACTGGACCGTTTACAATTGGTGGTTTCTTTCAAAAGGCCTTTTATGGAAAGAGAAGGGAAGTCATCCTTTTCTGTTTGAGGTTGGTGGGAGGGGCAGGAACCTGGACACATGCCCTCGGTCTCTCCCGTGGCGCCGGCAACGGCTGCACGCCACGTGGGCCCCCGAGCCCCCGCCCAATGGCAGAGGAGCCATGCCACCCATCGCCGGAGCCGCCGGGACCCTGCCTTGGCCCAGCCCTTCGCCTGGACCACGTGCCAGCTCCCGGGACTCTCCACCAGCTTCCAGCCGCCCCGCCGCCCTTCCCAGCGAGGATCCTGCCAGCTGGGGGTGCGGCTGGAGCCCCCTGGGGAGAGACCGCGCCCCACAAGATGGCTGTGACCTGGGACATGGAAACCAACCTCCGCGCCACCCGCCCCTCCTCGATGGGCTTCCAGTGTTTTTTTGTGTCTGTTTCCTCCTTTCTCAGAGACGGGGTCTGGACCAGAATTGCTCTGTTTGTGCTCAGAATGCCGGAAAGACTTTGGAACTGTTGGGGGGGAGCGGGGTCACCAACAACCCGGCGTTCTGTTTCCAGCCCTGTTTAGTTTTCGGATACCTGCGAACCCAGCCTGTGCCCCCCTCCCAGGAGGGGCAACTGGTGGCCTCAGCCCGCCCCACCACCACCACCCATGGTGACCTCTATGTCTTTCCCTCGAAGACACCCCGATTCTTTGTACATTGATCCGCCCTGCTCCTCTCCCCTCCCCGGTAGCTGGCCTTTGTTTTATTGCCCCCCTTTCTGATCCATGTATTCATATCATGTGGGAGATCATCTGCCTGGAAAAAGACCTTGTGCCGACTCTTGGGAACATTGTAGCTGTTCTGTGTTTTCTTACCCTGTAGTCTGGTTCTGAATTACGAGAGGAAAAAAAAAGTAATTATGATACATTGTAGTTTGTGTACGATATATGTTGATAAGGTTTTATTAAAGGGACATCTTTTTTCCGCACCCCTTGGTGACTATGTGGTGGTGGTGGGGGACCTGTTTCAGGGTTGATGGTCTGGTGACAACGCAGGGAGACCTGCCGGGCTCGCAGCTTTGTTACCAGGACAGAAGGAAGGCTTGTCTTTAAAGCAACGCCTGCCTCCTTGTCCCCCGCACGTCCACCGCACACCACTTCCCGTGGAGTCACAGTGACCTTGGGGAAGCTGGCGTGGAAGCGATGGAGGACATGAGCCCCACTCCAAGTATTTGGGGAGGTTCTAGAAGGCATTTTGGATTTCCTGCAAATCACATCTGGCTTGTGGAAATGGCTTCTGGTCACCTGGAGGTAGGAGAAGGCCCCTGGCCCGGGATCCCCATGGGCTACAACCTCAGCCTGCCTTTTTCCCTCATCAGAGGGACCCCCACACATTCCCAGCCCAGTCTGAAGTGCTCGGTGGTAGGGGCTGCTGGGTTGGCCTGAAGTGTGTGAGTACTGGGCTCTGGGAGACCAAGTTTCTTTTAAAAGCCTGGTGGCACGGTGGTTCAGTGCTTGAAAGGGCTACGGCTGGACGCCAGCCCTGCACAGGAGGGAGGGTCGGGGGTGCCCTGCATCCACAGAGATGAAGACCCCAGGAGGCAGTCCGTCTGTCCACGAGTTCGCGTCAACTGCAGCAGACTGGGTTCTTGTTCGAGGCAGTGGAGGGTCTGGGAGGATTTTAAGGGTGGTGCAGGCATTTGCAGGCTGCAGCTTGGATGGAGGATGGGGAGGGTGCAGGGAGACCCAGCTTGGGTGATGGATGGGGAGGGTGCAGGGAGACCCAGCTTGGGTGATGGATGGGGAGGGTGCAGGGAGACCCACTTAAGGCTGTCATGGAGGCCAGAATTGCCGGGCCACCCACAGTACAGGAAGCACAAGTCCAGCCTCCCCGCCCTGCCTTTCGATGGATGTCGTAGGAAGTGAGCCTTGCCAGCTGAAGCAGGGAATTGGCTAAGGCAACTGCACCCTGGTCCGACCATCACAAAGCAAGAGACCCCAGAACTAGAAAGGTGAGGCTCACCGAGCCATTTATTTCTCCGCCCTTCGATTAACCCCACGTGTTTATCGCCCAGGTTGGCACAATAAACCTTAACTATCTCAGGCTGTTATAATGATGGGAACCCAGAGCAGCCCATCCTCCTCACCTGGAAATGTTTCTCGGCACCAGGAGGGCCCCATTGAACTCTCAGGAAACTTGGTTGGGACTAGGGAACTCGGGCCTTGCCGCCCACCTTAGCCACCCCACCCACCCGCCCTCAGCCCCCAGCCCCCACCAGGTAGGTGCCCTGTGTGCCCCAAGCTGGAGAAGGAAGCACTGTTGTCAGCAGGTTGCCTGGGGCAGAAGCCCGCACAGCTGAGCAGGGAAGCCAAGGCCCTTCAAGGGGAACCCAAGTCCAGGGACCCCCAGCAGAGAGGACCACTCACAAGCGCTTGCCACATGCCATAAGCACGCTCAGGGCCTGTTTTATTTCTGCCCACCCAAGGGGCAGGGTTGAGACTGCCCCCTCACAGCTCTCGCCCTGGATGGGGGATTGCCGTTGGCATCCCTTCCCCAGGGGGTTGCCCTGCACCACACTGATGGCCTGCACTGTGCCGGGCCCAGGATCCCATAGAGAAAGAAGGCAGGGGAAGGGGTCGTCGTCCCATCTCCTAACCAGGACAGTGTGGCCCACCACACCGTAGCTGTGCAATCGGGCTCAGTGACCGCTCCTGTGAATCCTCAGTATCCCGAGCCACCCACTTCCAGGGGACAGCGGTTGCTTGGGACCACCGCCACGGCAGCCCTGGGCCTAGTGTGCAGTGGGGGTGGCATCGGCTCCAGGGGTCTCCATGAGGCCTGCCCTGCATGTAGCACAGACCTGGGACCCAGACTTGCTTGTCAGCATAGCTCTGGGGCTCCCGCAGCTGGGGTGCAAGGGCCGGACTGGGGGCTCGTGTGCCCCACTCTGCCCAGCCCTGGGCTCGGTGTGGGGTGGGCTGAAGGTTCCCATTCTGTCCTGCACTGTCCTGTCCATTCCAGGGCGTGTGGCCTGCAGAACGGGGTCGTGGGCCATTCCACTTATTGTTTGATTTCCTGCTTCATTCTGGGCACTTCCAAGGCCACCAAGCTCCGGCTCACACCTGACTTTACACTCATTCGTGTGTTGACTGAGCGCCTGCGACATGTCGGACACGCCCTGCCACTCAGGATCCAGGCAGTGAACAAAACAGACACTGCAGGATGGAGCGGCCACCGAGAGCTTCCTAGAGACAGCTAGGCAGCCGGAGGGGCAGCTGCGGGTGCGGGGTAGACCGGGAGCGTTCCTGGCTGCTCACGCAAAGCTAGAGCGGCCCAAACCTGCGGCGGCTCCCTGGGAAGGCCCCGGAGATCTCAGAGGTGACAGACTGGAAACCCCGTGGGGCCCTTCCACAGGGTCTCCTGCCAGTCGCTCAGTGTCAGCACCAACTGGGCAGCTCCCAGCACCAACAGGAGCACCCCAGGAAGAGCTGCCCAGCGGGCAGATCTGGGCTGGAGCCCGAGGCCGGGCAAGGTCGCGGTTTGGATGGTATCCAAAGCCAGGGGACCCTCAGTGACAGGAGATCTGGGTCGTAAGAGGCCCCAGCTGAGATGGCAGAGAGGCATGGCCATGCGGGGCGGGGACCACGAGCACAAGGACCACGTGGGCTTTCAGACCCTGGAGGCCGCTCTGGCTCTCCTTGCTGCCCGACGCGTCCGGTCCGATCCTGCAGTACAGGGTCCCAAGCTCCACTAAGACGCCGGCCATTCGGTGCAGTGGCAGGATTCACGCGGGCCACATCACATGTACAAATTTTGTTAAATTTGTGTTTTGAAGTGAGGATTCAGGGCTATGGATAGGATAATTAAAACACTACATAATTGCTTTTATTTAAACATTTATTTAATGTCTTTATAAAACTGAAATTGTCCTTTTTTACCCGAAACTTGCCAGCGCTTTCCTCCTCCTGGTTTTCACTTACCTCTTATGTCATGACCAGAAAACATAACAGAGTAACTAATAAAAAAAACAAAATGTTGGGCAGCTGGCAAACATGATGCACAATTGTAATGGCTTCCCTCTAAAAATGTTAACTAGCGCTGCCGCTAGGTCTGATTTATAATGGCGCAACCCAGAGCGCTCTTTTTAACCTTTGCGCCATTGGGATCTGTTTACATTACGTGACACTGAGAGGCAGACATATCGCCTCCAAATGTCGCCGGAACTGAGTCAGCACGTTGATAGACGTCCACAGGCCCCCAGGGAAGGCACTGGGCCACGTGTAGACTCGTCTTCAGGAGTTAGAGGGTTAACGAGGGAATTGTGTATACAGTATTGGCTCAATCTCCCCTTAGCGCTATTATCTTCATAACAATTTTTTCTATTTTCATTTTATTTCAGAGCATTGGGGGCCACAAAAAATTACCTCGGGGGCCACATGCGGCCCGCCAGCGTGATGGCCCTGCTGTGGAACTACCATGGGCCCTTGTTCACCAGGCCCCTTGTGCTTGCGGAACCATTCCAGGTCTTGCCCACTTGCCCTTTGGACCCAGCTCGCAGCCACCATCGTTCCCGAGCCGCCCTGGCCTCCGAGCTGTCTCCAGGGAGGCTCCTCCAAGCCAGGGCCTTTGTCCCCAGGACCCCAGGCCGGGGCCTGCACCCAGGAGGTGCTTCATGAGTGTTTGTGCAGTGAGCACTCAGCCCCCTCCCTGTTGCAGACTGCCACTGGAGGCGAGGTGTGCTGGTGTGGGGAGAGGCGGCCTGCAAGGGTCCCTGCAGGGCTCCTGGAGGGTCTCCTCCCGCCGCTCCCCCCACCTCTGCCCACCCCCCCACTCCTTTGCCATAGCTTGAGCTTCAGCACAGGGCCCAGCCACCAGTGAGTGTGGTGGGCAGCCTCGCCTTGGCCAGCGCCAAGCCCCTCACATGGGCTCCTGTTACTGACCAGGTGGGAACAAGGAGATCCCTGGGGCCTGCTGGGAGATAAGAGAGGCTGGGAGTGGCCTTGTTGGCCTTGCAGGACTGAGGAACAGAGGTCCTGCCCTTGGCTGCAAGCACATTCCTGAGATGCAGGCTTTGATGGGGGGAGATAGGACCTGGGCCTCAGGTGTGGGATTGCCTAAGGATCTCTTGTGATAACCCTAGACTGAGTGCCCAGAGCCGGGGAGAGGCTAGTCCAGCGCCGCCCTGCCCTGCTCCGGCCCTCTGGAGCTCTGTGGGCCCTTGACCGGGCTCTGGGTTGCAGCCTGAAGCAGGAAGTGGCCAAGGCCACCCAGGCTAGAGGCTGCTGAGGGCAGAGCAGGCGCCTGGAGCTGAAGCTACAGGTAATGTTCCCCTTGGAGGGCAGCCCAGGGGCTGCGCCGAGAAGCAGAGTTCCCCACCCGAGGAGGGATGGGGCGCTGGTCACCCACATCCCAGCTGGGAGGCAGAAGGAAGCCAAGCAAGGACCGACACACAGCGGGAGTCAGAACTAACTCTCCCCCAGCTTGGTGCCCCTTCCCCATCTCCTGTGCTCAGCTCCCCCAGGCTTGGGGCGACTGGAGGGCTGCCCAGCTCCAGAGAGTCTGACGGTCCAGTCCAGATCTCAGGCCTCTTGGCATTCCCAGTGCTTCCTAAGGAAACCGCTGCTTTAGCTCCGCCCAAGGATCTGTCTGTCTGTCTGTCTGTCATCCGTCCCGGGGACCCTGTCTAAGGCACCCAGTTCCACTTGCCCTCTTCCCAGGCCCCTCCACATACACTTAGTGCCTGCGCACAGTAGGATGTAAAGTCCAAGTTGGTGCCCAGCGCCGTGCCTGCCACCCCACAGCAGCTCATTAAATACTGTGGCGAGGGAGGGTCAAGGGCGGCGAGCTGGTCCCCAGGGGCTGAGGACGGCGTCGAGGATGGATATGTGACCAGTGCACATCTTGGGATGCTCCCAGACACACCTGGGGCGAGGGTCCCTGTAATAGGAGTGGCTGTCCCACGTAGCTGGCGGGCTCTGAGATTTAATGTTGATGGCGGGAAGACATAGGTCCCTGCCCACACGCTCTCCTGTTCTCCGGGCTTCTGAATGTCAGCTGGCCAACCCAGCTCCTCGGGACCTTCTGGCCCAATGCGGTCTGCCAGGCCAAAGTGGGGACAAACGGAAGGGGGAGGGGTGCTTCATCCCCATTTACAGCTGAGGACACTGCGGGTCTGTCATTTTGGAGCTGAGACACCCAGGGGTTTATCTGAGAGAAGGACCCTCCTCCAGCCCAGCTAACAATCTTTCTGCCCCTGAAGACAGCCAGACCTTTTTAAAGGGCCAGCCAGCTGCTTCCACACATGGCTATGTCAAGAAGTCAGACCTGCCCCAACTCCCCACAGGCCGTGCTGTTCCCATCCCGACACAGCCAGGCTAGGCAGGGCCGCGAGGCTTAGTCATCCTGAGGAACACAGGAAGGGGGCATGGACGGAGGCAGGTGGGCACTGGGCACCTGAGAGGTGACACGTCTCTGTGGGGAGACAGATGGCACACACCCCGCACTGTGGGGTCTCAGCTTGCTTCCCTACCTGCACAGGACAGCAGCAGCTCCCAGGCCCGCTGGCCTCACATGTGCAGAGCAGCTGACCGGGGCTTGAGCGAGCAGGCAGCCGGTGCAGGGCGCGCCCAGCCCAAGCGCTGATGGCCAGGGAAGGGATGTACCCCTCCCAAGGAGTTCCACACACACCTCACCCCCCCACCCCCCCGGCCGGCTGCAGGGTCCTCTGCACCCCACCCTCTTCTGGCTCAGCTTCCTTGAGCCCGCAGCCTCACTGGAAATGACAAGGGCCTCCAGCCGCACTCCTACAGGCCTCCTGCCAAGTTGTCCTCCACGGTTCTAAGAAGACCCGACTCAGCGAGCCGACATCTGGGAACTGACTCCATGGCTAGGCTGGCCCAAGCCCGGGAAGATCCCGAGCAAGGCTGCTCACTGCTGCAGGCTCCAAGATGCACGTCCTTCCTGAGGGACCAACAGGGCTGCTCAAAAGAACGAGGTAGGTCGCACGTGCTGATGTGGCGATGTCCGGGGCCCCGAGATGGCCTCTGAAGAGCAAGGGGCACGAGAGCGTGCGTTTGGGATGGCACCTAACAGTGCCCATCCCTGCGTCCTCCCTGCAGGCACGCCGCGCCTGGCCGCTCCTCGCTGGACTGGACTTTGTCAGATGGGAGTGGGTGACCCTCGCTGAGCCACTGTCGGTGCCGTTCTCCCGTGTCACATCCTGTGGCCGATTCGATTCACGGGTTCCCTCGCTGCCGCGCAGACCGACCGCCGTGGGACCCTGCGAGGGGAACCAAACCCCCGCTGACGCGCTGGACTGCGCCGGCCCCTTGACCACAGTGACCCGGAACCGGGGTCGGCCTGCATGTCACCACCATGCCAGGTCATGGTGAGGTACAGAAGGGACTCTGAGCCAGGGCCAGTCTACCTGTTGGGGTGGCTTCAGACTTCTCTGACCTATTTGAATTCTCACCAATTACAGGTTAATTCTTCTTGCCCCCCTCCTGCCCATCACCTCCGGAGGAGAATCTGAGGTACCTGCGGGTCGGGGTTCATCCAAGCCTCAGCTTCTGTACCCCATTTCCTTCTCACCCCCTTCACGGAGGGGCATGGGAAGGGGCCAGCGCACAGCCTGGGCCTGCAGTGGCGGCTGGCTGGATCTGCCAGGGCGGGCAGTGCCCGGCCAAGTGTGGTCCTGGCCCACCTGACCGCTGGGTGCACTGCAGGCACTCAGCCTGCAGCGGCTGGAGCAGCAGCTTCGTGGTCTCGGCAAGGCCCCTCTTCTGAAACTGCCCTCAGCCCGGAGGAGCGCCCCCCAGGTCTGCGCGCTCCCATCGCTAGAGTCAGGACGGGTCTGTAACAGGTTCAGCCACCTCCCTCGGGGACACAGCTCCAAGGGCTCCAGGCACAGTCACCCCAGCCGGCCCTCTCCCTGACCCATCCTGCCTTCGCTCCCCACGGCGGGGAGCCCCCCCACAGCCTGCGCCCACAACCCTCCAGCTCCGTCAAACTCCTCACGCTGAGCTTTCTCACTTGGGGTCCACGCAGTGCCTGGCACACGTGAGGCACTGTGTTCTTCCCGCATAAACCATCCTAGACAACAAGAATGGCGTGTGTTCATCGTGGCGGGGACCTGCTGTGATCTGAACAGAGATCAGCTGAGCCACGGGTGAACTTGAGTTTCCACTTGGAGGTCATGCTCTCGTTTTCTTAGTAAGACCAGGATACTAAGAAACAAACATGCTGTTCCAATTTTCTGTCGTCAAGGCAAGGAATGTGCTGGAGGCCTTGCTGGATTATGATCAAGTTCAAAGAATCCCGAGAACCCGCTACTGGGCAAGGGGAGCAGCCTGGTGGAAGGAGCTTAGTCAGACTGAATTCTGCCTCCGCTAGGCTGTCTCTGAGCAAATCACAGAACCTCCTTGTGCCTCGGTTTTCTTGCTTTAAAACTGAGGACAGTGTGTCTCATATAGACTCATAGCCTTAAACCCCCACAGGGCAGTACTACCCCGTCCTGCGGATTCTCCCTCTTCATGGGAGCAGAGCATGGGTCCCCTAGAGCAGCTGAGCACACAACTAACTGTCCTGTCCCTGGGGCACCCCTGGTTCAGAGCTGAAGTGGGGGGTGGGGAGGGGAGATTGAGGGTGGGCAATGAAGAGATGAGCCGAGCACCTGGCCCAGCGCTTTGATGGGGTCAGTGAGGCAGGCACGGACCACCCCCCCTCTCCAGACGACCCTTCACTCACACCAGCCACAGGTTCCAGGGCACAGGAAGCTCTTTATTTTCTGCGAGGGCCGCCCCTCCCACCCCACCGGCCCAGAATGCAGAGCGTCAGTGGGAGCGGGGGACGCTCAGCGTCAGGTGGGTCGGGCCTCTGCTCACACTGCCCCGTGCAGATACAGGGCTAGAAACTTCCTGAACGTCTCCGGGTGGAAGCTAGTTGGCCCGACGGGTTCCTGGAAAGAACACAGCACCTTAGCATCCTGCCACCAGGTTTCACAGTAGCAGTGACAACGGTCAAGTCACATCATCCCCGATGCCTGGCACCAGGTCACTCTCTCAGGCCCCCGGAGAAGCGCCGAGCAGGAGCAGGTGACGGAGGAGCAGCCGGGTCACCTGCCGGCAGGGCACTTCCAGGGTCCCTCCCCGCACGCCAACCCCAAGAACAAATGGCCTGCCACCCTCTGTCTGACTGCCTGGGACATGAACTCCCATTCATGCCACAACATTCATCCGGTGTCATCTCTGTGCAGGCTGGTGGCCAGGGCCCAAGACCGGGCAGTAGTGGAAGCTGGCTCCTAACTCCCCCAGGAGAAGGAGATGCTGTTAAAGGAGAGAGGATCGGAGGAGACCCTGGGGATAGGCATGTGCAGTGCAGACCCGTGCCTGGGGTGGGGGAGTGGCAGGAGGTGAAGCTGGTGGGTACGCAGAGCCGCGTGACCTGACCATGCAGGGCCCGGGCCTGTGAGCATCTCAGAGACCCTGGGGAGCAGAGTCATGATGAGGTTCCCCGGTTCTCCAGAGGCCCAGAGGAGGTCAGGAGGAGAGGACCCTGACCAGGGAGGCATCACTGGCAAGTCCTGGGGACTCGTTTTACCAGGGACATGCTGGTACCATCCACAATGCCACCACAGGCCCACTGGGCAATCAGCCAGGCCCTGGCTGGACACAGGGCACGGAGCTCATCACAGAGCCTGCCACTGCCCCCTACTTTGATCTCTCACCCCATGCTTGTGCTCCGAACCCTCAGCCTGCCAAGCACAGGGCCTTCTGTATGAGTGAGGAGGGCATGCCTATGTCATTGCCAGGCAGCGACCAGATCTCACCGGAGGCACCAACAAAGCCTGGGGCAGGGGTGATGGGTAGAGTGCCCCAGAGCAAGAGGCACCTGTGGTAAGCCGGCGGGGCCAGGAGAAGCTGCCTCCTGTGCAGAAGGAGCGGGGTCCACGAAGACCCCCAGGCCAACTCCAAGGTCTGGGGACTGCTTCCTGCTGAGCAGCAGGCACTGGCCTCTGGAGGAGAGCCCGCTCCGGAGCACAGGCCCGCTGCCCACCAGGCCAGAGGGGGCCAGGGGCAGCACTCACCACAACCACCTTCTTCTTGACCACCGGCTGACACCAGAAGTGCTGGTACAGGAGCTGGTCCGAGTCCACCCAGACCAGGTTCTTGATGCCACCACTGGAGGCCAAGTCGGTGGTGTTCAGCTGAAAGACCAGGAACTGGAAAACGCGCCCGTCTGTGCCCACACTCTGCACGGTCACTGGCTGTGCCAAGATCTGTGGGTCCGGCTGAGAAACCGGGCAGGCAGTAAGGAGCCACAGTGAGCAGCCTCCAGCTTGGGCCTTTCAACAAGTAGCCCCACCCATCAGCTCCCTGCTGCATCGTGAGGGGATGACAACCAAAGGAGGACCTGAGGACTGGTCCAGGGGGAGTGGAGCAACAGGCTCCTGCAGGGGGTATGCAGAGCTCAGGAAGGGGACTAGGAGGTGAAGGACGGGCCACCCATGCACCACAGGGGCAGCAGTGGGACTAGTTCTGACCGGCTGACAACGGAGAACACGGAGACTCAGCAAGGTGGTGGCTTGTCTGAGGTCACAAAGATGTGTGCCTTCAGACCAGCCAGAGCTGGCTAGTGCTAACCTGTGCGTGCACTCTTCCATGGGGCCTGCTCGGGGAGGGGGGCCGGCCTGAAGGGCGGGGTTCTCATGCAACTCAGAGCAGGCCCCTCCAGCCATCCTCAGCATCAGGGTCTCTCCAGGCACCCCGCTCGCTAATTGTCTCTTTTAACCCCTGCCACTTAGGAGTGGCGATAATGCTGGCACCCACTCAGGGGGGCCTCCTCCCTGCCTGGCACCCGGCCAGTTCTGCAGGAAGTCGCCTGCCTCTGATGGCCTAAAGTTCCCGGCATGTCCAGGCTCAGGGAGGTGGGATGTTGCTTCAGACCACTGGTGAGGAACCAGAACGAGAGGCCACGTGCTCCTTTGCAGGCCCTCGCCCCGTGAGTGACAGGGTACCTCTTTTCACGCCGAGTGTGGACGCTCAGGAATACCGAGCCACCAGCCTGTGCAGCAGCACTGCTCACTGGACAAGGACCTGGTGGCCTGCACCATGCTGGGGGGAGGCAGGGCAGCAGAGCATCGACTCCACAATGCAGCCTCCACCCCTCTCCAGAGCTGGCAATGGGATGGGCACAGCCAATGCGGGCTCGCTTGGGCAGAGGGCCTTCCAACAGCCGGGTCTCGGGCACCCAAGAGAGAAATGAAAAGCAAAGCCCCTATCAGCGTTAGCCGAAGGTTCTGTGTTGACTCTTATCTCCCTCTACAGATCAATAAAACTGCGGGTAGTACATAAATTTCTCAGCAATTTTACCTTTTATACCAAGGCCCTTCCCATAATTGCTCAACTCCACAGCCCCAGGAATCATGTGTACCTGGAGGGCGCCGGGCTCTTCTACCCAGCCGGCTGTAATTAGTTGTGGCATCACGGCCTAAGCTCTGCTGGCCATGGCGACAGTGAGCCTGCAGGCCTGGGCCGTGCCCACACCTCTCCCGGGCCCCTCTCACTGTCCCACAGTCAGAGATAGCATGCATCAAAGCGGGAGACACGGATGCCCATCCTAGCTTCCCACTGGTTAGCTACCGGGCCAGGGGGTGGAGGGATGGGAGTCACCTTGCCTTTCTGAGCCTTCGGGAAGCAGACAGTAAGAGATAACCTTTCTAGGATGATAAAATCAGTCACATAAATATGGAAAGCTGATGAACTCTTAGCTGTGTGACCTTGACCAAGGTGCCAAGCCTTGCTGCGCCTCAGTTTCTTCATCTGTAAAACGCCGGGAGCAGTAACCACTACCCAGGGTTGCGACGAGGATTAAGCAGCAAAATTTCTGTCCGGTGGTTTCAAACGCGCTCGTACCAGCATTGCCTGGGAGGCTTGTTAACACACTGATTGCTGGGCCTGAGAACTTGCATTTCTAGCAAGTGCCCAGCTGCTGCCGCCGTGGTGCACAACCAGCCCGAGGCCCCTTACCCAGTGCTGGATCAGACAGGGGCGCACAGACAAGGCAGCCTACTCCCTGGCCCTCCCCTGGCCCTGCTTCCCAAATGAGGACGGGAGAGAACTCTGAAACCGTTTTACTCCCAGTAGGTCCTTGGGCCCGAACCCCAACCTGGGAACCTTCCAGGTACTCAGGATCCTCGACTTCAAAACCAGGGCTCTGGTGGGGGAGTTGCCACCCCACCACCCCTCCCAGAGGCCTCTGCTCCTGGGCAGGCTTCCCCTGAATCCTGCGAGAGCTACTTGGCCTGCGCCCCTCACCACCCAGGGCCCTGAGGCCTCCGAAGCCCCCTGGCTCACCAGGCAGCCTCGAGCTGGGCGACACTGGAGCCCAGAAGCAGTGTCTGGGGAGCCAGGGCTAGCAGGCTGCAGTCCGCCCCCACTGCCTACTGCTGGGCCTCCTGCAATGGGGCAGCCGAGGCTGTGGACTCCTGACCTGAGCACAGGCATCTCACAGGCTCTCGTCTGATGCCAGTTCCTGCCTTGCCCTGGCACTCCTCAGAGCAGCCACAAAGCCAAGTAAGGTGCCCCCACAGCCCCTTTCTTCTTTCTCTCTGAGCCGGGTGAGGCAAAGACCCACCCCCACGGAGAGCAGCCGGCCTCTCTCCTCCACACGTACCCCGTAGAGGTGCCGGGCCTGGGCCAGGGCGTGGCCGAAAGCAAACAGCAGCATCTTGGCCCGTAGCTGGTCTGGCGCGAAGCGGTTTGGTCGTATTTGGGCAGTCTCCAGGAGGTACAGGGTGTGAGGGAAGGGGTAGGGATAGCCTTCCTGAAACCCTGCAAGATACGAGATGATGGGGAGGGTGGGAGAGATCCCTCACCTGACATCAAGTCACCTGAACGTCACCACACCCCTGGCTCAGGGTCTGGCACTGCAGAAGGACCCGGTAAAGGCAGACCTTGTCTCTGTTGACTCAAACAAAACTCAAACTCCTGCCATCGAGTCAGTGGAGACTCAGTGGCCTCATAGGGCTTCTTTCCTATAGCTTAGGAGCTGTGGAATCCCGCTCGCTGACACACTCCCACTGGCACACTGCATGTCCGCTCATAGACGCAGTCGTCGATGGACAACCTGGCACAAAAAACTGTATGTGACCTGCAACTACCCTACTTAGATATCCTGGCTCTTTCGAGAAATTGTCAAGCCCTGAGTGTCCATTCTGGAAATTAGCTCTACCTCCACCCCCTTCGCTCTCACTCAGGGGTTACAGATAACGGCGTTCTTATCAGTAACTGGAACTCCGTGGTCATTATAAGACCTGTCTTCCCAGGGACCTCTTGGCAGTTTCGAACTGCCAGCCCTTTGGCTAGTGCGGAGCACTCAGCCGTTTGCACCCTCTGTGATGAATGCCAGCCCAGCCCGGTTTCTCTAACCGTGACCCCAGCAGGTGGCCGTTCTCCCCACCTCCCAGCAGAGAAGACATGCGCAGTAGGACTTTTCCCTTTGGAAAGCGCAGGTCCGCTCGGCCCGCCCTCACCTGTGTCATCCTTCACGTCGTACAGGTGGCACTCCTGGAGGTCGATGGTGGGGGAGATTGGGTAGAAGGTCTCCAGGACGTGGGCCTTCGTGGCCTCCACCTCCTCTCTGGTGGCAATGGGGGGCAGAGGAGCCCTGGCACTCAACCGGGTCCCGCTCGACCCGCGGACCTGCAGGAGCACAGACTCTGCGAGGGAGGCGAGAAAGAGCATCAGCCGCACCCGGCCGGCCGGCGCCCACCCAGGCTCCGCTCGCACGCCCGAGACACTTACAGGAACCCCCACCTCCTGTGAGGATGCCCACCTTGGGGCTCCTGAAAGGGGAGGTGAAAACACGTGCTCTTCTTCCGCAGGCTCCCTTTCTAACGGGGTCAGTGACACCCCCTCCACCCCACCCCCCCCATCTGCTCTAAGGTAAGGACTCAGCCAGGAGCCCACCGTGCTCTGCCCTCGGGGAGCTCGCCAGGCAGTGGGGATGTACCACCTCCAAACGCAGAGCCTAGCACCGCCGAGAACTAGGTGAGGACGGCGCAGTGGGGGCTGCGGAAGTGGGGCTGGCTTCCTGGAGCTCAGCACCGGGCAGATTGTGGTCCTGGTTTTTCTGGGGGTGGGGGGTGGGGGCTCTCACAAAGCAGTACCCCTACTAGATGCCTCTTCCTCGCTCCCTGCACCCCTTCCCCCATCATGTTGCCACCCTCAAACAGGCCTCCAGACCCTGCCAGGGCAGAATGGCCCCGTGTGAAAGGTGGCCAGCAGACGGGTAAAGGCCCCCTGCAGAGCCCAGTCCATGAGAGCGTGGGAGCAGGGCGGAGTGGGGGGAGACGGCAGGCTGGCAGAGCCTCCCTGAGGTCAGGCAGCACATGCGCCGTGTGGAGGAGATGTGACCAGCAGGAAGAGGATGGGGGAATGTGCGACAATGAAGGCCAGGGGGTGCCCTTAGCAGAGCCTCCCTACAGGAGGCCACCTCTCCCGACAACACCCCCGCGGCAGCTCTGAGAGAACCTTCCTGAGCAGGCCCGCGTTCTTAGAAAGGGTCTGAGAGACAGGTAACTTCATGGCAACTTGAAGATATCTAAGTGTAGGGGTGGTGTCCTTATGGGAACTCCTTATGGGGGTGGCCTTATCCTAGAGAGCCCAGGGAACCTCTTCCTACTCCCACCTCCACTCTGCCTTCACCTTCCTCAAGACCACCGCCATTGGATCCACAGGACTCTGCACCTTGCTGCACTCTGCACCATTGCATGGATCGCAGAGACTTATGGACCAGTACTGGACTCGTGGACGTGAGTTGGGCAGGGCTGGGATGTTTTCCTGATACACAATTCCTTCTTGATAGAAAGCTCTCTCTTACCCATCTATGAGTGTCACTGGATTTGTTTCTCTAGTCAACCCGGCCTAACACAGGGTCCAAAGTGGGGTGGAGGGTGGGGGGTGAGGGGTCGTGGGTGATGTTTTCACATGAATTAAAATGGGCTGGGCCCACCTGACATCCCTGCCTGGCGGTGTGGCGTCTATGTGTGAGTGAATTGGGACGGATCTGCTTGTACAAACACATCAGACTCACATCTCAACAGTCCTTCTCTACTGTGTGTCCGGGTTCCTCACACAGCACCTGCCAGGAAAGCAAATGGGCCCAGACCTCTCCTGACCTCGGGTTTGCGCTTCTCCCGCAGACGGCTCAGTGTGGTTTGATTCAATTCCCTCTGCCAGCGACAGCTCCAAATGGGCCGGTTTAATTAGAGGTAGTACTTGATGACGAGCCAACAAGGACTCCTCAATTAACGAGGCTCAGCCGGCTCCTCAGCAGTGCCATTACCTCTGCAGAAAGCACTCCTGGCCAGCAAGGCATGCTCGGAGGCGCAAGCGGCAGGAACCTGACCCAACAGATGTCCTGAAAATTCCCTCATGGTCGCAGAGCCCAGACCCCTGCTCCAGGAGCCCACCCACCTCTCCCTTCAGTCGGGAGCTGTCGGGAACAGGGAGGAGACTCTCAGGGGGGTGAGGCCGAGATGAGACCATTACAACCCAGGGTAACAGCTGCGGGACGGCGGGGCAGAGGAGGAACTAACCCGTCTGGACTCACAAAAGGAAATGCGCTTGAGCTGGCTCTTGGGGTGCACACAATGTTGTCATGCACAGAAAACAGGGAGGCCCAAGTGTGCTGCCCAAACCTCCGAGCAGCTTCAGGGTACACGCAGGGGTGGGGGAGGAGGCCAGGAGGCTAGGAACCAAGGCTAGAAGAGCAGGTGGAGGCCAAGAGGCAGAGGGCCGGGTGGCTGGGTACCCCTCTGACAGGGCTACGTCTGCGGCAGTGACGTGTCTGAGGCAGGAAGCCACACAGACAAAGCACTGCATTTGGTGAAGCCCCGTTAGCAGCGATGTAGAAGATAAGAACGAATAGGGGTGAGAGGCTGCCTCCATGGAACATGAGCGTGGGGAGGGCAGAGGTTGTGTCTGCTTTGTGACTGTGTCTCGGTCCTCGGCATTTGGGCATCTCCAAAGTGCTCACTCACCGTGCCGCCAGGGCTCCTACTAAAGGAACAGGAAAAAAGGCCAGGCCACGTACGGCTAAAGCTAGTGAAAGTCAGACTGAGACGACACAATTGCTTCAGACCCAGGAGGGAGGACAGACCTGAGGCAGAGTGGCTTGAAATGTGACAGGTAGGGGCTTAGGCCCAGAAGGAGAGAAGAAACCAAGGCTTTCTGGAATACAAGATGACCAACCTCGGGTCCAGGTGGTACAAAACGAGTAGTTTTGGGCACAGATCCGCTGGATCAGCGCAGGATGCTTGGGGATCTGGGATTTACACAGCTGAATCAGACTGTCCACAATGACTGGGCTTGGAGAAAAGAAGAAATATTGGGATGACTTAAAGAACAACAGACTGACTCCAAGGTCTATTGGAAGGAAATCTAAGTCGCTTGGGAAACTTACCAGTAGGTCTCTCTCTTGGGGGTGTCTTCTGTGGAGTGCCAGAGGCGAGCGTGAAACACCGCGTTCAGCACGCGCGCATCTTGGTTCTCTATGTGGTTTCCTGGATCGTCAGCAATGCTGCGTAATTTCTCCGGGAGGCCATCTATTAACTGGGTCTTGGTAAGCCAGAGGGCCTGCTTTACACCTTTGGAGTAATCACACACACAGAGAGAAAAGGACTAAGGAACAGGTGGTGCGTAAGTCTGCAAGATAGCATCATTGTGGGGAAAAGCTGCCTTCAGGGAGACTGGCTTTGTCCCAGGAAACAGGAGGAGTCAAGAACCGAAAATGAAGAAGGGGTGGGAAGCGAGAAGAGTCAGATTTCAACCCAACTTCAGGACTGAATTGCTAGTTCAAGCTGGTTAAGTTATTTCAGGTAGTGAGCCTTCACTTCATCGCTTATTCTGTTGGCTGCGGCTTAAACGTAAAGCCCAATTTGTCCTCAAGATGCATGGCTAGGGTCCCTGGGTGGCTCAAATGATTATGCACTCAACTGCTAACTGCAAGACTGGCAGGCTGAACTCAACCAGAGTGCCTCGGAAGAAAGGCCTGGCGGTCTATTTTTGAAGGGTTATAACCTTGAGACCCTAAAGAGCACGCTTTGTAACAAGGGGGGCTGCCATGGGTCAGAATCAACTGCTGGCTTGTTAGGTTGCAGGCACTTTGCAGGAGTCCCTCCAGGCAATATCTCTGTGGTAAGGAATGAAAGGCAAGGGAGGATAACGCGAGGACTCAAATTTAAGGCTCGGAAGACAGGCAGCCCAACGGACAGATGACATTTACAAATGTAACTGATAACCTGAGTTTCAGCCCTGACATGTCCACTTTTCCTTCAACATGAAAATGGATTAAAATATCGAGATTCCCTAGTTCACTAGTCCATGAACGATGTGACCTATTTATTGGGTGTCACAACCCACTTACTCTGCCAGCTTTACCTCCGAGTTAGCGGGAATCTTAAGGAACGGAGGAGACGCTCAGAGATGCTAAGGAATTGCCTTCGAGTCATTGCAGTCCTGCAAAGGACAGGCTGGGATAAGAACCTGACCCTGGCCAGCCCGCTTCCCTAGCCCTGTATCTGGCAGAATTTTATTAGTCTTTACAGAAACTCTGCGAGAGGTGAATGTGTGGGATACATTTTCAGCCTAGTCAAATGTGCAGTTTTAACTTCCAAAATCCTGCTAATGTACCAACCCACGTGCTAATCTCTTACCAGGGCCACTCAAAGGTGCCAAGTCTCGTGAGGTGGTTCACGGCAGCCTGTGAGGGCATCGGCGTGTGTAAAGACTGGGCAAGCTGCGTTCTGGAACGTCTTTGAGCAGCTTAAGAGCATGGCTAGTTGACTTTTTTCCAAACCTAGGACTTATTCTCTGGCTTAGTCTCAAATTCCTGTCTAGTGTCTCTTTCTTGATTTAAAAAAAAAAAAAACAGAATAAACCAGTTTATTCCAACTCACAGTGACCGCAGAAGACGGAGCAGGACTCCGTCCCATAGGACTCCCAAGGCTTGTAAATCATTATGGAAGCAGACTACCTCGTCTTTCTCCCACAGAGTGACTAGTGGGTTCAAACTGCTGACCCTTTGAGCACTTAACCACTGTGTCACTGTGGTCAAGTGCCGTAGAGTTGGTTCTGACTCATATGGACCACAGAACAGAACACTGCCTAGTCCTACGCCATCCTCACAATTGTCCATTGATGAAACCACCGAGTCAATCCATTTTGTTGAAGGTCTTCCTCTTTGCTGCTGCCCGTTATTTTACGGAGCGTGATGTCCTTCTCCAGGAACTGGTCACTCCCAACTGCATGATGCTTCAGCTGGGACTGGTCACTAAGAACACTGACCCAGGAAGCCGGCGCTCGGGCCCAAGCATCATCACTAACCCACAGTGAGCCTGCGGGCAAACCGATCCTGAGGGGAGGGGCCCGCAGAGTCATCTGCTGCATCTTGGCATGATACCTCCCTCCCATCGGCACCCAGAAGGCTCCTCCGAAGCAAGTGTGGCAAGACTTCGTCTCACAGACTTTGGGCATGTCAGGAGAGCCCAGTCCTTGGAGAGGGGCACCATGCTTGGTAAGGTGGAGGGGCCTCAAAAAGAAGACCCTCATCGAGATGGATTGACACGGTGGCCGCAACAATGGCCTCAAACATAAACAAGCAATGCTTTGTTCTGTTGCACAGAGGGTCAGGAAGGGGTGGAAATGATTCGAAGGCACTTAACAAAGACAACAACAGCAAAGTGTCCCCTCTGCAAGTGTCAGAGCTGCATGGGGCAATTTGAGCCATCTGTCAAAACCACTCACTAAACAAGACATAGAGGCTCGGGAAGGTTCGGCCCAGAACCACACAGTTGAGTAAGAGTGCAAGCTAGCAACCAGGTCCCTTCGCTTGGCACAAACTGGCTGTTTCCTGACACGTGCACCACAGGTCTTTACAGCGTGCCATCATTTCATTTCTGTAGCCCCACTTAGTCCTCTCACTCGATGCGAATCACGAACGCCCCATTTCGCAGATCAAGAAACCAAGGTTGGGGTGCGGGCAGGACCGGGAACCAGTAGCTTCCCGCCCTGCCGCTGGCCTCACCCTCGATCAGGCGGCAACGCTGGTGGAAAATGTGGCAGGTCTGCTCCTTGTACAGGGGCTGCTCGTGAACCGGGGGCGTGCGGCTGAACTTTGGGTGCTTCCAGCCGCGGTCCCAGGGCGGGAAGACCGGCCTCGCCATCCCAGGCACGAAGTGCATCTTCCCCGCGTAGGTGATGGGCTCCAGGCCAGGGATCTCGTACACTCGGTCCAGGGGACGAGGCTCAGGCTTCCGCGTGGAGCGCACACCCCACTCATACGCCCAGCGTCTCGGGGCCCCGCAGCCACCAAGGTCGAACCTCCCGGGGCGGGGGAGCGCCCGCCTGGCGGACCCCGATGCCAAAGCCATCACGACCCGGGAGCTTCCAGACCTCCACCTGGGCGCCGCCATCTTCCCCGTCGCAGGGCCTGCTGGGAACCGAAAGGGGCGGAGCCGCAAGCCAGCATTTAAGAATGGCAGCAGCCTCAACCAATCAGATCACTATTATTCTTGCATTGCTCCACCCCTCGGGGTGTTCTCTTTCTTTATTCGTGAAACCCGCTACGTGCTCCCCGCCTCCCCGCGGGGGCGGACCCTGCAGGACCCCGAAGGGGAGGAGCGCTGGCGTGCAGGGTGAGTGGCGGCTGCCGGGCCCCGGGAATTCATAGCCGAATTTAGTCTGAATTGTAGACCGTCCCTGGCCGCTTACAAGCAGTGGGAACTTGGGCAAGGCACTTACACACTGAGCCACAGTGTACTTCGCTGTCAAGTTAGGGCTAGACATTTCTAAGCAAGCGCACACACCACAACTCTGGGAGACACAGTGGGGGGCTAGGAAGGAGCCCTGGTGGAGTAGTGATTACACGGTAAGCTCCTAACCACAAGGTAAGCAGTTCGATACCGCCAGCTGATCCTCAGGAGAACGATGAGGCTTTCTCCCATAGAGTACCCTCGCCTCTCGGAACCCCCACAGGCAGCTAGTGTGTGAGTGATGGTTTCCACCCTGAGCCTGACTGCACCCTCTCCAACGCCTGAAACCTTCCTTCTTTTTCCTCGGGATTTCCCTGTCTGCTTCCTCGGCTAGAATGAAGTTGCTCCTTGAAAAAAAACCAAAGAAGATTCCAACTATTAACCCTAGAGGACAAAGTGGAACTGCCTCTTTGGATTAAGATTTGGTTTCTGCCGATCTTACTAACAGAGCAGGAAACCTCATTTATCTCCCTCGGAGCAGCTGGTGAGCTTGACCTGCCACCTCCCAGTTGGCACCGACTCCTCATGCCCAGGGGCACCAGAGCTCCTAGTTAACAGACCCATCCCCTGTCTCTGAGCGGATTCTGTACAGGGTTTCTAAGACCAAGCTTTATGGAAGCAGACAGCCTCATCTTTCTCTCACAGGGAAGCTGCTGGGTTTGAACTGCCAACCAATACCAAACCCGCAACACCACCCATTGCAACGTACCACACGTTCTGTCTCTTTTCCCGAGTTATCTTACTCTACCCATTAGCACTGACATACAACATGTTTCCCACTTTTATCTTGTGTAGTGCTCTCTGACTCCAATGTGAGCTCCTTCAGGGCAGGGGTTTTCCTTTGTTCGCTGCTGCATCCAGGGCCCTAAACAGCGTCCCAGCACATAGCCCTTCAGTAATACAGGTCCAGTGATGAATACCTGCTAGAAACCGTGTGCATGGTAGACAATGAGAAAGGGAAGGTTCCAAGAGGCCTTCTGAGGGAGGTGAGCTTTAAGCCAAAGCCTGAAGGGTGGGGAGTGTGTCAAGCAGAGGGGACAACAGCTGACCTAAAGATCGTGCCTCTCAGACTGAAAAATGGAGCCTGACAGAGGGCATGACCCGGGTCTGTAAAATTCATGGCTGGAGACCCGACCTGTGTCCACCCGCGGCTGGGTGGCTGAGGGAACCTGTACTCCAGAATGTGAAGCAGTCATTAAAGGAACGGTGCTAGCACCCTACACCTCATGAACCACAGGGAGGAGCCTGGAGGGCGACTTGCTGAGTCACAGCAGGACACCCATCGGCTGCCGCGCAAGCTATCTGGAACTGGCAAGGTGTGGAGACCGGCGGCTGGAGGTTGTGTGGGGCGGAGGGGAGAAAGGCATGGGGTTCTCTGCTCTCTGTCTGGGTTGGTGGTGATTGCATCGAGTTGTGGCTAAAATGGCAAGCGCCGTGTGGTGCCTACTTTACACAATTAAAAAAAACCATGACTGACATGACCCACTCCCCAAACACCAGAGAAAGTGGCATTACGAAAATGTGGAGATTGTACATTTCAGACCAAGAGGGATCAAAGTTAACGCTTACACGGTATAGCAGTTTCCAGGGAGCAGAGCACGTCAGTCACTCGGAGTGAGGGGCCAGACCTCACTCCCTCAGAGTCGGTCATCCACCTCTTCCTTGCCCATCTGACTTCTAGACTGTTGCCTCAGCGGCCTTGAAATCAAGCTGTTTTCCTTGCCTCCTTTTCCTATAAAAACGAGCAACCAAAAACCTCACAGCCAGTGGGTCAGTTCTAACCCACAGTGACCCTGTAGGACTGGGTGGAACTGCCCCTGTGGGTTTTTGCGCTCTCAACGTGCGGGTCGTGACCCCTTTGGGGTCGAATGACCCTTTTACACGGGTCACCTAAGACCATCGGAAAACACTTAAATTTCAGATGCTTTTTAAACCTACTGCCACAAACTGTAGCAATGTAGTTTACTGTTGTTATATTATGACTGTTACCCATACTACACCATGCTTCTTGAAAAAAGTTCATTTATTTGTCATTAGAAATACGTATTTCACAATATATAATTACATATTGTTTTTGTGCTGAATCACTCCGCTTTAATTATGTTCACTTTGTAACAATGGAAATACATCCTGCATATCAGATACTTACATTACAATTCATAACAGTAGCAAAATGACAGTCATGAAGTAGCAACGAAAATAATATTATGGGGGCAATGAATGTACAGATGCGCTTTACACAATTGATGTGTGTATGGATTGTGATAAGAGTTGTATAAGCCCCTAATAAAATGATTTAAAAAAAAAGAAAGAAAATAATTTTATGGTTTGGGGTCACCACAACACGCGGAACTGTATTAAAGGGTCGCAGCATGAGGAAGGTTGAGAACCACTGCTGTAACTTTACAGGAGTGGAAAGCCTCCTCCTCCCAAGGACAGAACGACTGGTGGTTTTGAACTGCTGACCTTGAGGTTAGCAGCCCAACCTGTAACCACTATGCCGCTAGGGTCCCTTTTCTTTTTTGTTTTTAAATCATTTTATTGGGGGCACATACAGCTCTTATCACAATGCATCCATCCATCCATTGTGTCAAGCATATTTGTACATTTGTTGCCACCATCAGTTTCAAAATATTTTCTTTCTACTTGAGCCCTTGGTATGGGCTCCTCATTTTTCCCCTCCCTCCCCCTACCCCCTCATTCATGAACCCTTGATAATTTATGGATTATTATCATTCTGTCATGTCTTACACCGACCAATGTCTCCCTTCACCCAGTTTTCTGTTGTCCGACCCCCTGGGAGGAGGTTCTATGTAGATCATTGTGATCGCAGTTCCCCTTTCTCCCCCACCTTTACCTTACCCTCCTGGGATCACTACTCTCATTATTGGTCCTGAGGGGTTATCTGTCCTGGATTCCCTGTGTTTTCAGCTCTTATCTGTACCAGTGTACATGCTCTGGTCATGCCAGATTTTTAAGGTAGAATTGGGGTCATGATAGTGGAGGAAGAGGAAGTATTAAAGAACTAGAGGAAAGTTGTGTGTTTCATCGGTGCTATACTGCACCCTGACTGGCTTGTCTCTTCCTTGTGACCCTTCTCTAAGGGGAAGTCCAATTGTCTCCACTCCACACCACCCCTCAGTCACATTGGTATGATTTTTTGTTCTGGGTCTTTGATGCCTGATACCTGACCCCATCGACACCTCATGATCACACAGGTTGGTGTGCTTTTTCCATGTGGGCTTGTTGCTTCTCAGCTAGATGGCTGCTTGTTTATCTTCAAGCCTTTAAGACCCCAGCCGGGCACCATCAGCTTTCTTCACCACCTTTGCTTAGGCACCCTTTTGTTTTCAGCAATGATGTCGGAAAGGTGAGCATTGGGGAATGCCAGGTTATTAGAACAAAGTGTTCTTGTGTTGAGGGAGTACTTGAACAGAGGCCCAATGTCTGTCTGTTACCTTAATACTTAACATATAAATATCTGTACAGAGATCTATTACCCTATTGTTATCTATAAAGATATTTAATTATGTAAATACCTGTATTTAGACCTCTATAAATGCCCATTTGCCTACTAGTTCTTTCCTCTATTTCCCTTTACTTTCTTCCTGCCCCACTGTCACGTTCAGCCTTCATTCGGGTTCAGTCATTTCTCTCAGTTACATTGCCCTTGATCAAGCCCCACCAGGCCTCCTACAGCCCCCTCGCCATTGCCTCAGAGGACAGCACTGAAGCTACAGCCCAGGGAGAGGGGCGTGCCTGGTCAGAGCACACAGGAGCAAATGAAGAGGGAAAGAGAGAGAGTGGAACACATCCTGGCCCACCAAACGCCCAGGATGGTGATTCCTGTTCAGAGCAGCCAATGCACAGAGAGGACCATAGGGCCCCACCATGAGACACGATGTCCCTCACTGACCCCTCGTGCTATGGGGGACAACACTGGAGACAGAACGGGAATTGTGCCCTATCTGACCCCACCAAATAGGAGCGAAACACTAAGGGCATGCAACAGAGCAGCAAGGGGAGCAACCCCCCGGCCCACCCCCCCCCACCCCCCGGGAAATACAAAAAGTAGACTGTGGAGCCAGGGCATGGCACCCCATCAGACCTGAATGGGCAACACTCCTAGAGGTCAACAAACAGACCTGGAACTATTTATAGGCTTTTCTTTTTTTCTTTTGTCATTGGGTTTTTGGTGTTTGGTTTTGCTCTGTCTTGTTTTTGTGCTTATTATTGTCTGTGCTTGTCTATCTAGATAAGATAGGTGGAATAAACAATCTGGAGGAGAAAACAACCGGACCAATGGTTGGGGGTGGGGGTGGGCAAGGGAGAGGGAGAGGCAGGGGATGGGACGTGGGTGTTAGCAAACCCAGGGACAAAGGAACAACAAGTAATCTAAACTCAACAGTGGGGAGGGTGTACGAGGCCTTTCTTTTCTTATAGCGCACCTATTTTAAAACAATAGTCGGGCTGGTTCATGAGATGAACGTTGCTTTTTAAAAAACCCAAGACACAGCCCAAGGAGTTGACAGTCTCAATGAGAAGAAATGCACGCAGGCGTGTTGTTTCTGAACAGTGGGAAATGCTGCATTACAGAGAGTCCCTTATTTGACCAGGCCACCTGCTGTGACCACTAGCCACCAGGGCCAGTGGTTTGAAGCCATCAGTGGTTCTGGGGGAGAAAGATGGAGCTGTCTGCTTCTGGGAGCTTTAAGCCCCAGACACCCCAAAGGGCTCTGCCCTGTGGGTTTGCTCCCAGTGGGGATTC